TCCATCCGTTCTTGTCTTTCTCCCCTCGCACTCTTTCTGGGTGGCTAGGACTCATGGGATGTTGGTGTGGAAGCTGTCAGTGACACTGTGTATGCCTTCTCTCTCCCGCTCGCTCTTTCTCTCTCTCCGCGCTGACAGCGGCTTGTTGACAAACGCCAGCAGTCATCTCGGCACCCTGGGAAATCTCTGCTACCATTTTGTCAGCAGAATGACAGAAGCTGTTAATGTCTCAAATTCTCCCCGTGACAGAGAGCCATCTTGTTGACAGTGTTTGACATTCGGCGCTCAATTCATGTCGTCCATTTTAATTTATTATATTTTTTTTCACACCAGATCCAACTCCCCCTTTTCACTTTCTCTCTCTCTCGCTCTCTCTCACACAGACACACGGATCCCATGGCAAAAATTAACAGTTACTCGATTTGTCTGAATGTAGCTGTGGAGCTGCTAATGATTTTTGTCCGGTAATGAGAATTGTGTCAGCGCCCTGTTAAAAATGAAATAAATCCTTCGCTCTGTATGAATCCACCGGCATATCTCCTGCCAGCCGCGATCGATGCTATTCACAAATTAGAGTCGGGGAAAAAAATCGTTTATTCCCTCTCTGGGGTGTTTAAGGCAAACATGCCAAAGACAGGAAGTTCCAAAGTAAGAGCAAAACGAAACAATGCGCAAAACACCGTGGTATGTCAAACATAGAAACCGACTACTTCTGGATAAAATGCACATTGACTGCAAATAAATCTGCATGAGACGCAGTACATGTCACAGATTTTGTAAATTGGTATAAACAATATTAATATGATAATAGTACTGTAAATGCTGTCAGAAACAGCAAAAATAGATTTTTAACGACTATAGGAAGTTCATCAGTATCCAGGTTGAGCCTAGTGAAGCTTACAGGTGAAATCTGAACAGTAAACTGAATCTGAGGAAATTTGTTGCAGTTTCGGTGCAGATTTGACCAGAAAATCCAAATCCAAACATTGCTTCTAAACAAACCCCCCCCTGCCTAGTTATAATAATTATGTTGACAATAAGGAGCTGATCTTATACTAATAGTCTGGGAAGATACAAATAAACCAATTGAGCGAGTTGAGTGTGAAAGAAAGTGCTGATCTTGGATTCCTATCCTCATTTAAGTGTAATAAAAAACTGATTAGGATAACAAACTGATCTGAGTACACACTAACTGATCTTGTTAAACAAAAGATCCGTCCATTTAAGACTCAAATCCCTGCAAAGAAAGTCAAAACAAGTTGGTGGGTGTTAAAACTAAACATCTTTTTGCAAACAATACACATAAATAGCATATATATATACCATATAGGCTATATATATATATATATATACACACACATAATTTTCAAATGTTTCAGTAACCACAAAAGTTATATTAAAATCAAGTGTGTGCTAAAAACAAAAACAAAAAAATAACTTTAAAAATCTTGCAGAAAGAGTTAGGTTATAATAACAGGTTATTATAGTAGGTTATAATAACATTATAGGAGGTTATCAGCAGGTTATAATAACAACAATAAATGAAGTGAAGTATTTCTGTTAGAACTAGCAACAACTTTCACAATGTCATAAAAACTTAAAAATAATTGTACTAGAAGCGCCAAAAGGCTCATTGGGTTGCCTGAGACAAACCTCAAGGAATGACTGGGGAAAAAAACACTTAAAATTACTTTTCTGAATAATTCACACACTGTAGCCAGGCTGTGAATATATATATATATAATTACTGTTTTATACTTTCATGTATCTTGGTGTTACCATTTTCTATAAAATCCTCGGCTAGCATGGAGATTTTTAAAAATGACTTGAAGACCTACTTATTTGATCAAGCTTTCTGCGTTTAATTAGGTCTCGGAGAACTGATTGGCTGCATGTTTTTCTTGATGTTATGCCTTGGTGTTATTTTATGTTTGCATGTATTTTAGTATTATGTTTACTCATGGACAGCACTTTGGTCCATTTGAAAGATTTTAAAAGTTTTTTCAAATAAAAATTGAGTTGAGTTGGTGTTTGTTTACATCGTAGTCGACTCCAAGTTACTTGACAGAAAACTATGGTACTTATTGTTGAAACCCTCCCAAAACAAATGCAAACTAAATATGATTAGACTACAAAATCAACATCTGCGCTTAACAATTCTCTTTATATTCTCTGCCAGTTTACTAACGGGAGAGTTTAGAATACAGATTTATCCTATATAAACGATTACCTTCGGTTCCCAAGAGCCTGAGCGGGAGGCTTTTTAAATGTTACATTTTCTTCACAGCCTGTGTTTGTTGTTTTGGCCTCGCAGCGGCAGCCGGTAACCGGTAACCGGGCGCGGGGGCCGCACGCGCTCCTCTGCAGGTGCGAGCGCGAGCAGAAGCACGAGATTAAAGTGTCTCCCTCCACCTGTCTCTCTCTCTCTCTCACCTCCATCTCTCCGTTTAACGCGGTGAGGAGCGTGAGGCAGATTTGTACCGACAGCACCGCGCGCATACTGAAGTCAAACTGCATAAAAGGCGCGCGGCTGATCAAAGCGCACGCTGCGGCGCCCGTCTCGCGGCTTCACGACGTTTGAAGGTTAAAACAAAAAAAAAAACGACACGCAACCGCTATTTACATTTTACTCCGTTTTGCATCTGGATAAAAACATATTTTTTTTTCTCCACCTCACTCTCTGAAGCGCTCCCAAAAACTTTTCTGCACAAATAACAACATTAATACGCAAATATAGAAGTAGGCTAGAGGCGTGACGCTCGTTTGGAAGAATATTGGAATTAATTCGTTTAAAAATAATTTAATGATGCCGACATTTTACGCAATGTGAAATGATGGCAAACGAGCAATTTGAGGGGAAACAGCTTGCGTCGTGAAGGGGGGATGAAACGGCACCGTGTCGCCTTCACATGGGATCGTGACGCCGTTGCGCTTCAGTCCAACGGAGATATTTGTAGTTCATCTTCTGAGGAGTTGAAACGCTGCTATTTACACACCAAGGGATTCTCGGCGGAGCAGGATCATCCTGTGGGTGCTTCATATGAATACAATTACACACTCGGTAAACAGCGCTCCGCTTATGAATGTGCGCAAAACTTGCGCTGCACGTGACGAAACGCTGCGCGTGATATGAGGCAATCGTCGCTGGAGCGCCTTTTATTCTGCTTATGACTGAGGGCTACCTTATTACCTCTTGTTTCATTACAATAACATTACTACTAAAAAATCAAATGTATTATTTTATATTCATGTAGAAAAAGTGCCTCAAAAATAGAACTAAAAATACAAAATACAGAGCTGTTTAGCAGCATATAAAGTTCATATATGTAAATAGCTATATTACAAGGGTATAATAAAATTTTTTAAATTGTACTAAAAAAGACTTTACCAAAAAATAAATAAATAAATAAAAAGATACAATTTTTAATAAACTGACTTATTATTTATTTTTAAAAAAAAAATCACTTATTCAAAATGGAAAAAGCTCAGATTTTGTGGAATTATACCATAAATTATTACCGAGGAACACAATGTATGACAAAAGGCATTTCATAGAAAGACGTGAGCATAACTGGCGATTTCAAATCATGTTTATTTGTACAAACGGCTAGAAAACGGAGAAGGCGATCACAGAGTTCTCCAGAGGTTCTCCTGCTTGAATCTGAGGCACATGTATGTGTACGTGCATTACCTTTGTCTTTATGGTTAATACAGAAGCAGTCAATCTTACAATCCAATCCTTAAGAACTAAACAACAGCTAATATTGCTGTAAGACACAAAATCAATGAGAGGAGATCCAGCTGTTAAACTTCACAGATAAAATGAAGCATTATCTGGAGATTAGAATGCTTAGAATTGGGACAAAAAAATCTAGAACTAAAGATTTCAAAATAAAAAAAAGTCAATTGTACCCTTCTCCAATATGTGTAAGAATCTATCTGGCCTGTTTTAAGTGCTATATTTAGCAGACCAAATATATTTAACTTGCAGAGCATCTTCTGATCTTTTCCTTAAAGGAACACTCCACTATTTTTGAAAATAGGCTCATTTTCCAACTCCTCTAGAGCTAAACAGTTGAGTTTTACCGTTTTCGAATCCATTCAGCCGATCTCCGGGTCTGGCGGTAGCACTTTTAGCTGTAGCTTAGCATAGATCATTGAATCTGATTAGACCGTTAGCATCTCGCTCAAAAATGACCAAAGAGTTTCGATATTTTTCCTATTTAAAACTTGACTCTTCTGTAGTTACATCGTGTACTAAGACCGACGGAAAATGAAAAGTTGCGATTTTCTAGGCCGATATGGCTAGGAACTATACTTTCATTCCGGCGTAATAATCAAGGAACTTTGCTGCCGTACCATGGGTGCAGCAGGCGCAATGATATTACGCAGCGCCTGAAAATAGGCTTACTTTTGTCAACATAACCAACATGACCACCTGCTTGCACAGGGAGCGTGCTGGGGACTATTTTCAGGCGCTGCGTAATATCATTGCGCCTGCTGCACACATGGTACGGCAGCAAAGTTCCTTGATTATTACGCCGGAATGAGAGTATAGTAGAAGAGTCTACAGAAGTCTTCTGACTACAGAAGAGTCATATTACGCAGCGCCTGAAAATAGGCTAACTTCCGTCAACATAACCAACGTTACCACACGCTTGCACAGGGAGCGTGCTGGGGACTATTTTCAGGCGCTGCGTAATATCATTGCGCCTGCTGCACCCATGGTACGGCAGCAAAGTTCCTTGATTATTACGCCGGAATGAAAGTATAGTTCCTAGCCATATCGGCCTAGAAAATCGCAACTTTTCATTTTCCGTCGGTCTTAGTACACGATGTAACTACAGAAGAGTCAAGTTTTAAATAGGAAAAATATCGAAACTTTTTGAAATTTTTGAGAGAGATGCTAACGGTCTAATCAGATTCAATGATCTATAATGCGCAAGAACCAAAGGAGAATTAAAAGTATAACAGTGTCAATATTGGTACAACATACTCACTTAACTGATTATTAGTCTGTCTCTATTAAGAATCTCTATCTTTATATCAAAGGAGATAAAGAAGCTGTAGCATGTAAAAAGAGAACAGAAAATAAATCTAAACCAAAGAGTCATTTTTTGCTATATGAATGTCAGTCAGAAACTCACACGCCACAACACAACAAACCCACAGCAATAACAAAACCCACAGCACAAAACCTCACAGGCCTGAAAGAGAAAGAGAGAATAAAGGAGGCAGGAACTCACCCGAGAAGCAGCTGGTCTTTTGGGTCTTGAGACACGTACACAAAATCTCTGAAGGTAAAAACACAGACATAATATCAACAGCAGCATGAGCCGCTGTGTGCTGAAGAAATGATGTCTGTAATTAGTAAGAAACAAGTATTGGATTTCATTCAGCAAATATATAGGCGTTTTTTGTTGTTGTCACCTTTAGCAATAATAAATCAATGCTTTATAAATGGTGAGTTTTGTATGGCAAATCCAACTCATATTTTCTTCATTAAAACCTAGTTTTTGTAATTATGCTTTGTTTAGTTGATGATTTACTAGAATATACATCTAGTATATTTATTATCTCTCAAAGCCCCTTGGAGTATCCTGAGGTTTAGCATCTTGCTCAAGGGCACTATGGAGAATCATGAATCAAGCCCTCCTGGGTTTTTTAAAAAAATAGTGGAGTGTTCCTTTAACACCTTCTCAAGTAAAGCTACGTTAACATTTACATCCATGTCCCAAGCATCATTTCAAAACCAAGAACCTCCAGATAATGAATAGATAATGAGCATTTCAAGGCATTACGGCACGTTAGTATTTACAGAATCCATTTGTGTGCGTGTGCAATGTGTTACAGTCTGTGGAAGTACGAAGGTTACTGAGGATAAGCTTCGATCACCATAGCATGACCCTGCAACACACATACAAGAGAGGGTTATGAGGATATTTCCACGTGTGCAAGTGCTTTGTTGGTTTTGTACAGTCACACACCTGTCCTCCAGCGGCACACGCTGCCACCAAACCGTACTGACCACCCTCCTTCTGCAGTCTGTGGGCGACGGTGGTCACCAGTCTACAGCCGGTGGCCGCAAACGGATGTCCAAGAGACAGAGAACCTCCCCATGAGTTAAACTTCTCCATCGGAGGAGCACCAACCTGAGAAAACAGAGAAACAGTGTACATGAGCTTTCATTATCATCGATATCATCAACATTGCTATGGCTCATCAATAGACAGAAGCAAGATTTTCAACCAATTATTTCACAGCCTTACATCGTGAAAAAAAAATTCTGCTCATTTCCAAAAATATTGCCCAATTTTATAAAGCAGAGTTCAAAAATATCAATAAATGTTTTTCTTTTCAAATGATATATTGATCACTCATCAAAATAACAAGAGCAGTCAAATGCTTTTCAAAATGATTGCATTAAATTAAAAACTCAAATAAACACTTTTCAATTTAAAATTATTCAAAATGTTTAATGTAACTTACAATCTGCAAAGAAGTGGAAAATATGTTCAAATACTCCATTTAATGTCAAGTAACTTCACATAAACACATTTATAAATAAATGAGCTCTTTTCCCCCACAAAATCTGCAATTTTCTGTTTCTGTTTGGATGTAGTAAAACACCCAAAGATGTAGCAGACAACATCTGGGCCATGCATTTTCTTCAGTCGCTGCCTATAATTATATATATCCTTAAAAATCAGGATAAGCATAAAATAATGTCTTCAGAATCATTCATACAGATTCAGAGGAAGACAGGAATCATGTTTTTCTGGTGATTAAGGGTTAATACAAGACTTCTTCACCTTACAAATGGTTGTTGAAGGCAAAAATGCTATGAAATGCATCATATTTTATGTGAAAGTGTGACATGCTCCAGCAAAACAGCCCCCATTTTTGGAAATTAGAACTCCCAAAATTAATAAGAAACAAGTATTGGATTTCATTCAGCAAATATATAGGCGTTTTTTGTTGTTGTCACCTTTAGCAATAATAAATCAATGCTTTATAAATGGTGAGTCGGGACACTATAAACCCATGACACCTACAGCTGCAGGAAACTGAGCTTGTTTAACAGGAAAATGGAAAGACTTCACTATCATTTCAAATTATTCAACAATTACATTTACTTAAAAGTAAATTGCATCTCTTTTCAATGTTAAAATATTTTATCCTATAACAATTTCAACAATTTGATTTCCCTTAAAAGAATAAACACTGACGTTACAATTATACACTTTCACACACGTTTCTGAACACATATTTGGTTTTCAGATAGTATTTCTGAGCCATTTTTGCAGTTTAAACTCAATAAATACATTTGATTAGTGGGTAAATTTTGACAGATCAGCTAAATTGTTTAGGAAAACACAGATGATGTTGTCAGTGAGATGCTGCGTCTGGTAGTTTTTTTATGTAAGGCATTATTTTTGTTTTGTACCTGAGATACGCTTTAGGCTTGTAACCCATCGCAAGAGCTTTCTCCTCTGACATGATCAAAACTGCAGACGCTCCATCAGTCTGAGTGAACAAACACACACACAAAGGGAAAGAGCTCATGACAAATCTGACAGATATCCCTTAAATTAAAGGGCTGGTAAAAGCAAGTTGGATTAAACCAGAAACTCAGATGAACTGACCAGGAAGGAGGAGTTTGCGGCCGTCACTGTGCCGTGAGGCTTGATGAAGGCGGGTTTCAGTTTGGCCATTTGTTCCATGGTGGAAGGACGGATCCCATTGTCTTTAGACACAATATCCTTCCCTGTGACAAACACATCCTCACAACATTTAAACAACAATCTGAACTGCTCAAAAATCAAAGTGTTACGCTTGACAAAATGCAAACTTATACTGTCGCTTGGTCCAAACAGACTTGGGTGTGAAAGTGTCCTCAGAAGTGTTAATAAAATAAGTCTCATTTCATATGCTTACTGCGCTTCCATAAATTGCCTGCAAGCAGAATTAATAAAAATAACTAACAAGTATGGAAACTTGTTTCCACCATGGGATAAAAAGGAAAAAAGGTTATTAAATTCTAAGGTTATTAAACTCTCACAATTCTGACTTTTCCCCCCCTCACAATTTCAAGTTTATATCTCACAATTCTGCCTTTCTTTCAGTCAGAAAAGTCAGAATTGCGAGATACAAACTCAAAATTGTGAGACATAAACTCGCCATTCTGATAAGAATGGTCCCAATAATTTTATTTTTTATGAAAACAGAATTATGCAATCTAAACTTAGAATTGTGAGAAGGAAATTCTGCCTTTTTTCAGAAAAAAAAATAAAATCTGAATTGTGAGATGATAAGTCGCAATTATACACACACACACACACACACACACACACACACATATATATTTTTTTTAAATTATTATTATATATATTTTTTTCGTTTCCATGGCAGAGAAAAAAGTTAACATGTTTAAAAAAAAAAAAAAAAGTATTCTGCCTTTTTCCCCACAAATCTGCTTTTTTCAGTCAAAAAAGTCCGAATTGTGAAATATAAACTCTAAACTATTAATGTTAGCTATAAAATCACAATTCTGAAAAAAATAAAATCTGAATTTCGAGAAATAAAATCACAATTTTGAGATGAAATTCCAAATTGTAAGATATAAAAATAAAGATAAAGAAAAATGGTCTGAATCGTCTTTCTGGCAGAGGCTGAAATGTTGTGGCAAGTGCTGCTGTAGTTGTGTTAATTGTTCACCTGGCACTTTAAAGCTGATGACATCACTGAGCAGCCCGCTGTCTTGAGCTTTCTTTGCTAGCATGTGAGATCGCAGAGCAAATTCATCCTGCTCTAAACGCGACACACCGAATGCAGCCGCCAGACGGTCCGCGGAGTGACCCATTGTCTCGGCCGTGGAGAACTCGGCCACAGCTGGCAGCTACACACACGTGCAGAGAGACATTTAAGAGCTTTAAATTAAGTGAACCCAACAATACCTTACAGACTGTATTTAGACAGACTAAAACACTGAAATATAGATGTTCTAGTGATATATGACATTTTATAAATCAGATGTAATAAAGGGCTATAATATCTGATCAGACATTCGTCTTGATAGCAGTAAGAATGGGTTGAGAATGACAAAAAATCAGTAATGTTGTGTCATATACTGTATGTCAGATTTTCCAGCAAAAATGTTTATAAATTTATAGCCGTTTAAAATGTATGGTTGCTTCCAGTATAATTTCCAGCTATTTTTATATTTGTATTTTATATATATATATATATAAATATGCTGATATATAAAGTGTTTATGCTTTTTATAGCTATAACTATTAGATGTTATAGATGTCTCATGTATAATTTCCAGCTGTTTGCTAATTATCTTTGTAAATAATAGTAATAATAATAATAAATAACAACAATATAGTTATTATCTAAAAACATGTAAAATATCTGTGTAATAATAAAATATTAATAATATAATACAAATTTGAAAGTAGATTTATTATTATTATTTTTACAATGTAGAAACAAAATGCATAATTGATATGATGTTCAGTCAGAAAAGTCAGAATTGCGAGATACAAACTCAAAATTGTGAGACATAAACTCGCCATTCTGATAAGAATGGTCCCAATAATTTTATTTTTTATGAAAACAGAATTATGCAATCTAAACTTAGAATTGTGAGAAGGAAATTCTGCCTTTTTTCAGAAAAAAAAATAAAATCTGAATTGTGAGATGATAAGTCGCAATTATACACACACACACACACACACACATATATATATTTTTTAAATTATTATTATATATATTTTTTTCGTTTCCATGGCAGAGAAAAAAGTTAACATGTTTAAAAAAAAAAAAAAAGTATTCTGCCTTTTTCCCCACAAATCTGCTTTTTTCAGTCAAAAAAGTCCGAATTGTGAAATATAAACTCTAAACTATTAATGTTAGCTATAAAATCACAATTCTGAAAAAAATAAAATCTGAATTTCGAGAAATAAAATCACAATTTTGAGATGAAATTCCAAATTGTAAGATATAAAAATAAAGATAAAGAAAAATGGTCTGAATCGTCTTTCTGGCAGAGGCTGAAATGTTGTGGCAAGTGCTGCTGTAGTTGTGTTAATTGTTCACCTGGCACTTTAAAGCTGATGACATCACTGAGCAGCCCGCTGTCTTGAGCTTTCTTTGCTAGCATGTGAGATCGCAGAGCAAATTCATCCTGCTCTAAACGCGACACACCGAATGCAGCCGCCAGACGGTCCGCGGAGTGACCCATTGTCTCGGCCGTGGAGAACTCGGCCACAGCTGGCAGCTACACACACGTGCAGAGAGACATTTAAGAGCTTTAAATTAAGTGAACCCAACAATACCTTACAGACTGTATTTAGACAGACTAAAACACTGAAATATAGATGTTCTAGTGATATATGACATTTTATAAATCAGATGTAATAAAGGGCTATAATATCTGATCAGACATTCGTCTTGATAGCAGTAAGAATGGGTTGAGAATGACAAAAAATCAGTAATGTTGTGTCATATACTGTATGTCAGATTTTCCAGCAAAAATGTTTATAAATTTATAGCCGTTTAAAATGTATGGTTGCTTCCAGTATAATTTCCAGCTATTTTTATATTTGTATTTTATATATATATATATATAAATATGCTGATATATAAAGTGTTTATGCTTTTTATAGCTATAACTATTAGATGTTATAGATGTCTCATGTATAATTTCCAGCTGTTTGCTAATTATCTTTGTAAATAATAGTAATAATAATAATAAATAACAACAATATAGTTATTATCTAAAAACATGTAAAATATCTGTGTAATAATAAAATATTAATAATATAATACAAATTTGAAAGTAGATTTATTATTATTATTTTTACAATGTAGAAACAAAATGCATAATTGATATGATGTTGCATACCTCGGCAGGGTGTTCTCTATTTCTCCAAAATATTCTGTTTTCTAAATATGACGTGGGTCCCTTTGCACAAAGATGGCTTTAATAATGTAATTTGGAGTGACAAATACACTATGGGGAATTTGTATTCTGTGATTTGGGTACCTAGACATTCAAACTGAGGTGTGCTGGGGGTGATATGTGAGGTGTATTATGGGTGATGTAGTACCTCAGGTGCGAGGTGAGAAAGGCGGATGGAGCCCAGCAGAGAGAGTCGAGCCCCGAGGGTTTTTGCTTTGTTGAGTGACAGCATCGTCTTCCTCATCTTGCGGCTGTGACGAATGGGAACGTCAGACATAAACTCGACTCCACCGGCGACGACGGCATCACACTGACCGGCAGCGATCAAACCGACAGCTAGAAAACAAATTAACAATCAATAGTTCAGTCCATTTAACAATCTTCTGAAACCTGCCTTCAGGTTCAGTTTTAATTCAATTACAATCTACCGTCACCAAAAGGTGTGTCAGTACCTGTGGTCATCGCTTGGTTGGAGGAAATACACGCCATAGTCACTGTGTGAGCAGGAGTCTTATCTGAGAATCCAGCACCAAGAGCCGCCTACAAGAAAACATTCAAAATAATTTTTTCTAAATGAACATCCAAACTAATTTTATGATCAGAAACCAAGCAGCAAATGTAACGTTTCTAAGAAATAGTCTTTCGCTGATGATGGGACCAGAGTTATTATAGTTAACTAAACTAAAACAATTTTTAAAAATTTAGTTACTTGAAATAAAAGTTAACTGAAATCAAATAATATATATATATATATATAACTTTTTTCTTCTTTTTATTAATTTATTTCCATTTAATTTAATTGTATGCACTAAAATAACAATCTAAAATAAAAACTACAATAATTTTAAAAAACTAATAAAAATAACAAAAACACAAAAAATTACTCAAATTTTACTCAAATTAAAATGAAAACTGGAAAATATAAAAATAAAAACCAATTACAAATATTTATAAAAACTATAATAGCTTGTAGTAATAGTTTGTCACAAACATAAAATTACTCAGGAAAAATAAAATATATATTTATAAAAAATAAAATAAATATATATCCTATACGAAATAATGCACATCATTTATGTAATTAAATATGGTCATGGGTTTGATGCATACACACACACATATAAAAAGCTAAATAATTTTTCATGGCCACTAAAACATCATTAGAACAGAAAAAAAGTTACAGGAATAGTAAAGTAGCTTTTTAAATATTTACATATTTAATCCTTTTATTTAAATTTTTTTAATTTATGCTCTGAATGAGTTTGCTTTTTGTTTGAATGCATAGTATGTGCTGTACCCAATTCATAAACAAACACTGTCACTGCAGTGATGCTCTGTGGACAGGGCTTCTCAACTCTGGCCCTCAAGGTCCACTTTCCTGCTGAGTTTAGCTCCAACTTTGATCAAACTCACCAGCCAGTAACTAAAAATAGCTTCAATATCCAAATTCTATTTTAGAAATGATCACAGACTAGACAGAGGACAGACTGACCTCTCTGGCCACATTACTGGTCTTCACTTCCTGAATAACAGTTCCATAGACGATATAATCAACAGCATCTTTAGGGAGACCGGTTCTGTTCAGCAGACCTCTGGGAAAAAGAAAAAAAAAAAACGGCCAGACAGTTAGTCCTGAACCTTATAGTGATGAGTGAATCTTTATATGTATGTGTGTGAGTGTGGTGACATACTGTAATGCAGCTCTCGCCAGATCGTGGGGCATCAAATTAGCGTATCTAATAACAAAGACAGAGAGAGCAAAGACACAAAGAATGATTTCAGCAAGGTAAATCTGATGAAGAAACAAACTCGTCTACATCTTAGATGGCCTGAGAGTAAATTTTCAGGATATTTTCATTTTTGGGTGAACTATTCATTTAATTCTATTCCTTTCTGCACCTTACAAACTAGTGTTTTATTTAAACGATTTAAACGTTTTTATTTCAATTCACAAAGTATGATGTGAATTTCACATACAGTAAGTAATGTGTGCAACTTGTCAGGCCACATCTCTGACTTCATGCTCATCTGAACCAAAACACATTCTCACTTACATGGTGCCAGACTGGAGGAAAGGAGTTCGGACGCCATCAACTAGAACGATGTTCTTCACTCCTGGTGTGGCTAGAGACTTTTTGCTCTTTGCTGTGTGATTAGAAAACACGACAGAAAGAAAAAGATCAACAAAAATATTTACAGTTGTATTGTGAAAATGGAATGTGAATTTTTTTATACTCTAAATCAACATACAATTTTGTATTTCTTTTATTTAGTGTGAGGACCTTTGCAGAATATAGCAAAATAGATCGTAACTGGACTGATTATTGGTAAGCATTACACCTGAAATGTTACCTTGAGCTTGCAGATGAACAGATGTGCTGAGAGAACGAGCAGCTGGAGAGAAAGAGAACGCAGTTACTCATACAGCTCTAATTATTGATAATTACTTTAAATGTTTAGTGCACATTGCATAACGTGAAGTGTTATTTAGCTCTGCTGAGACCCGGGATGCCTTACCGAACTGAGCAGCCTGCACAGATGTCAAAGGGCTGCTCCTCAGTGAAGTCAACAACATAGACGCCATCTTTGATTATCTGGAAGAGTTAATCCAAAAGTGTGAATGATTATTCAAAACTACCCATTATTTCAGTCTAACAAAGCAGGTGCACTCATAATCCCATAATGACAATAGTCTCTTTATTAGACAATTATGCTTGCTCTCTCTCTCTCTCTCTCTATATATATATATATATACAGTGGTGACTGTTTTTTTTTTATTTTTTGCATATTTGTCACACTTAAAAGATTCAGATCATCAAACTAATTTTAATATTACACATAGATAATGCAAGTAAATACAAAATGCAGTTTTTAAATGATGATTTCATTTATTAAGGGGAAAAAGCTGTCCAAACTTACGAGGCCCTACGTGAAAAATGAATTGGTACAAAAATAAATAGGTCTCATCATTTGTTTTTTGACATGCTACTATTTAATATTTGTAACAGCTAAAGGAATAAAGTTTAATTATTTTAGTTCTCATAAAAAAAAAATATATATTAATAACAAACTTGGCAGAAATTAGTTAAGCATATCCTACTGAACATACTGTTAACACACAGTGATGTAATTGTTGTATAATAAAATATATTTATATTTGACTCTGACCTGGAGTGTATGAGATATTCATATCATGTACATGGCCTTCAAAACTGTTAAATATGTTACAAATTTGATTATTTATTTAACCAGGATAGCCTCTCTGAGATTAAAAATCTCTTTCACAGGAGTCTCCTGGACAAAATGAGCAGCAATACAATCAGTTTCATCACAAATTTACAAAACAAAAACAAACTAAGACCACTTAAAACAATTACACATCACTGAATCATCTTCCAATTGACGAATAAGATTCAAGGTTTTTATTCGTCACATACACGGTTATATAGAGAATATATAACCAGCAGTCAGGTTCAAGTCAGGTCCGCTCCATGGACAGTGCAATTATTATAGAATACAAACACAAAGAAAATTCTATATAAATATAGGTAATAAAATAAAATGCGCAGGACAGTATTATACGATTATAAACCGTTTTAAAATGTTTATAATCGTATAATGTGTATCAAAACGAAGTGCTATTTGCACTCAAATGCTGCTCAAAGTCTCTGAATCAGCTGGTGTTTTGGTGATTTTCAGTGGATGTATGAAGGTGTCTTTGCATAGAAAGCACATGTGTATTTCATCACATTAACGATCAACATGCTCCACTTACCACAAACAAACAGTCACACAATACTGATTGTCTTCGTCTTCACAATCATATCTACTGTTGTATCATTTAAAACCCTCAATATTTCTTTGAAATAACTGACACTTGCTTCGATATTCTGCATCAATGCCACGGCATTCAAACATTTTAAAGGCGTTGCTAAAGTTTTCAAATGCTATCGAACTGCTATCCATATTTGACATTAATATGTTAAGTATGTGACAGTAATGATAATACATTAGCATAGGTATGTCTGACACTGATCTGGTGTGTGTGTGTGTGTGTGTGTGTGTGTGTGTGTGTGTGTTTATATATCCTGGTGGGGACTTAAACCTGAATACACACAGACTCATGGGGACCTAAATTGAGGTCCCCACGGGTACAAAAGCTTATAAATCATACAGAATAAGTTTTTTTGAGAAATTAAAAATGCAGAAAGTTTCCTGTAAGGGGTAGGTTTAGGTGTAGGGTTGGTATAAGGCAATAGAAAACACAGTTTGTACAGTATAAAAACCATTACGCCTATGGAGAGTCCCCACAATTACGCTGGTTGTCAGCTGCCGTTAAAAGCCAAGAAGAAGAAGAAGAAGAGAGTCCCCACAAGGATAGCTGACCAGACTGTGTATGTGTGTACTGGTTTATATATCCTGGTGGGGACTTAAACCTGACTACACACAGACTCATGGGGACTCGTGTCACGGTGGGGACCTAAGTTGTGGTCCCCACAGGTACAAAAGCTTATAAATCATACAGAATGAAGTTTTTTGAAAATCTAAAAATGCAGAAAGTTTCCTGTAAGGGGTAGGTTTAGGTGTAGGGCAATAGAATATATGGTATGTACAGTATAAAAACCATTACGCCTATGGAGAGTCCCCACAAGGATAGCTGACCAGACTGTCTGTCTGTCTGTCTGTCTGTCTGTGTGTGTGTGTGTGTGTGTGTGTGTGTCTGTGTCTGTGTCTGTGTGTCTGTCTGTGTGTGCGTGTGTGTGTCTGTCTGTCTGTGTGTGTGTGTGTGTGTCTGTCTGTCTGTCTGTCTGTGTGTGTGTGTGTGTGTGTGTGTGTCTGTCTGTGTGTGTGTGTGTGTGTGTGTGTGTGTGTGTGTGTGTGTGTGTGACCCTTCACCTACTTCAAGGACAAATATATAAAGGCATTATAAACATTTAAGCAGCAACTTGCGATCATGACATCATTATAAAACAACACCGATCATGATATGAGACATAAAAATAACACTTTAACACACTAGAACGAGCAGACGGGTTCATTCTTCCGCATGTCGAATAACACTGTTTAGGATATTCATCAGAATTCATCCTATAAACACAGTGTGTGCTCTAAAATAAACGCATAAATCATATTTGTACCTGTTATTGATGTGAATGTTGAGCGAGTGTGATGTTTGGTGTCTCGCGTCTGTCTAATGACTACAGCAGTGCACGAACCGCAGGACCCCGCGCCCCTGGCAACCCGAATCACTGCCTGAGCGGAAAAAAGCTTACTTTATATAATAAAAAGTGGCATTTTGTTAACGTTAATACACATGCATACATATATAAAAAGATATGCAAGTTTATTATATACATTAAAAGTGAGATGAGATGGTTTTATTTAAAGGCGCTAAGTTGGCTGCCCGAGCTCGAGCTGCCAGTGAAGTTTTGAGAAGGATGTCGAGCGCGAGATTCCTGTTGACGCGGCGCTGCACAGGTATAAACTTATTCATAAATATGTACTTAGTGTACATATATATTTTATTGAATTATACTGTACATGTATATCCGCCTTTGAGTGAGATTATAGAGTTTGAACGAGGTGACCTGCATGAATGAACTTTCACCTAATTTTGACAGTTCAGGTGAGTCAGTACAGGTGTGATAATACCTATTTAATCATAATACATGATTAATAATATACAATTACTAGTAATACAGGTCCAGTGGCAACTATAGTATCCAAAATACTACAGGTTTTACGGATGTGGTGACTGTAAAATCATTAAAATATATATATTTTTTTACTTTTAACAGTGTAAGAGACTTCTTGTCATTTGCTTTATTTTGTTTTTGTTTACAATTAAATTTAATGCCAAGTTGGCATAGTTTACTGTACACTGATTTTGTCTACTGGGTCAAAACATGATGCAAAAATCTAAATATGGACAAACAGTTTCAACAGTAAAAGTTACTATGGTACTTAGCAGGAAACTATGGCTAGCACGGTAAATTACTGTTTCTCATATTCTTCTACAGAATATGTACTGTAGAGCTTTACCCCCGTAAAACACTTAGCACATACATATATATATATATATTATATATGCACATGTCTTGTCTTTGACCCATATATATATATATATATATGGGTCAAAGACAAGACATCACATTTTGGTGTCCCCATCCAATTAAATTTACAAAAATCATTTTAAATACATAAAAATATGTGAAGTGTTTACTTTCATATTTCAAATAACTTTTGTGGAAAAATAAAAAAGTCAAAATATGGGGGAAATAATGTTCCAAAATGTAAAATTGTCATTCAGCGTTATGGTCCGGACTTTGATTTTGACATTACATCGTTAAATAAGATACCAAGTTTAAAAAAAACATTTTTTCCGTGGCATTTTCAAATAAGTGTTGACTGTGTTATATTAAATGGACTATGTCTTATTGATTATTTTTAAGCATTTAAATAACCAGGGGACTTTTGTCCCCGAAAATGCAGTTTATCAGAGATCATTCAGTGTAACAAGTCAAGTCAAGTCTGCTTTATTGTCAATTCTTCCACATGTACAGCACATACACACAGAGAATTGAAATTGCGTTACTCTCAGACCCTTGGTGCATACAGATAACATAAATACAGATAGGTACAGATTAAATACAAAATACAACTATACAAATATACAAATAAGGTAAAATGTAAAAAAAAAAATATATATATATATATATATAAAGCACAAGGCATATGGCAGATAGAGTGCAAACCATTAAAGTAAACAACAGTGCAGATATAATGATTGTAGTGCAAAAAACAATGATTTGTAGTGCAAAAGAGCTTATTTCGACTGATTGAAGTGACAGAGTGTGTGTATTTGGGAGGGGGGGAGTGGGAGAGTCCATCAGAGGATCAGAGTTCAGTGGTGTGTGGGGCAAAAGAGGGGAGGGGGGGCAAGGTCGGGAGGGAGTTCAGCTTCCTGACAGCTTGATGGATGAAGCTGTCCTTCAGTCTGCTGGTCCTGGCCTGGAGACTCCGCAGTCTCCTCCCTGATGGCAGCAGACTGAAGAAGCTGTGTGTCGGGTGGGTGGGATCACCTGCAATGCAGAGGGCTTTGCGGGTGAGACGGGTGTTGTAGATGTCCTGAAGGGAGGGGAGAGAGGCACCAACGATCTTCTCAGCTGCTCTCACTATGCGTTGAAGTGTCTTGCGGCAGGACGCGTTGCAGGCGCCATACCACACAGTGATGCAGCTGGTCAGGATGCTCTCGATGGTGCCTCTGTAGAAGGTGCACATGATGGGGGCCGGGGCTCTGGCTCCGGCCCCCATTCTGAAATCCATTCAAGCCATTCTGAAATCATAAAAAACTGATAGTCATTCAGCAGTCTGTGACATCATCAGATGGCACCTGGAAGACAGCAATAAAAGTGAGGTTATTGCTCTTAAATATTTGATAATTTAACCTTTTCATGGTGATTTTCAGTGAAATGCCAAAAAACACTTTTATAGTTAGATTTCTTAAAAAATAAATAGATGTTGTGAATAATTGTGATTAACTTTACTGGTCAAGCTCAGTGTTTGAAATTGGTGGCCAGTTGATTGCCTGCAATATAAGCTGAAGTAGAAGTTTCGTAAAATTAAACATGATACATTCTAATATATGAGGAAAAAACTAAATTATTTATTATTAATTATAATTATTATTAGTATTACACTTTTATTTTTCTGATGCTTAAAACCCTCTTTTTGTCTTTGACCCATATGTTGTTGTTTTTTTCATTTTATATATTGAAAAAATTGTTCATTACTTATTATATTATTGTCACAATCCTGTCCATGAACTTCCGTCTGCTTGCCACCAGAGGTCGCCCTCCCTTTATATTGACTCTCACACCACACAGACTGTTACACATCACCCTGGACTACATTTCCCATGCTCCATTGCACTAATCACAAGCTCACCCGAAACCAATCACACACAGCTGCTACCAGTAACACACACTATATAAATCAGTCTCACACCACCATTCAACACCGAGTATTGTTCAGCATTTATCGCTCACCTAGGGATAGCTACTTTATGGAGCCCTTCCAAGTTCATGAGTCTAACCTTGTTCATAGTCTGTTTTCCCGTGTCTTGATCCTAGCCAGTTATCTCGTCCTGTCTGATTTCTGCCTGCCCTGAAGTCTATAGCCTGTCTTGGATTTACCCTTTGCCTTGCTGATTCGGACTGTGTTTGCACCTCGATTGGATTATTGCTTGTTTTGGATTCCTTTTTTGTCTTGCCCTCTACATATCTGTTTGCTGGTGTCCGACTCTTGCCTGTGTTGACCCTTTCTGTAAATAAAAGCTTGCATATGGATCCGCATGCCTCTCGTCTCATCGGCTCCGTTACAGTTATATTAGCATCATTAGTCAATAATCTGATTAATGGAAGCCTTCAAAACCTGTTTAGTCCTAACAACAATATTACAATAATAATATTCCATGAAGATTGATGTGTATTTGTTCAGTGTTTGTTGTAAGTCTATTATTTCTTTAGTATTATATTAACTTCCTGTGACCTGCTGACCTCTTATTGGACACATGCAGACATGTGTACTCACATGCGGCATGCGTTTGGTCATGTGAATGTGACAGGTGGGGTTGTATGCAGGAACTGGGGCGGAGGTCATGCGTGTCTCCAATGACGACAGGATTCTGGGCCAAAGGTCACCATGTCACCTGTTACATTAATTTCAATAGAGATCCCATATTTAATAAAGTATATTATATTAAGACTGCTGTGTGGTGTACAACATATCGATCTTATCATTTATACTGTAATAGAATCAATAAATATTGATTACAGTCAGTTTAGGCTGAAAGGCATAGCTTATTATTAGCATAACACAGGTTATGTTTATTATTAACTTGGATTATTTTGTATTTACAGCAGCATTTTGTAAGATAAGATACAGATTAAGAGTGAATAAATCGCTTGTTCTGTCATAAACACAAACCAGGCTTGTGAATTACAATATTCATAAGTATTACTTTGATAAAAGTAACCTCTGTGGATGAAGGACTATATGTGACCCTGGAGCACAAAACCAGTCAAGGGTCAATTTTTCAAAACTGAGATTTATACACCATCTGAACACTGAATAAATAAGCTTTCCATTGATGTATGGTTTGTTAGGATCGGACAATATTTGGCCGAGATACAACTATTTGAAAATCTGGAATCTGAGGGTGCAAAAAAATCTAAATATTGAGAAAATCATCTTTAAAGTGGTCCAAATGAAGTTCTTAGCAATGCATATTACTAATCGAAAAATTAAGTTTTGATATATTTACTGTAGGAAATGTACAAAATATCTTCATGGAACATGATCTTTACTTAATATCCTGATTTTTGGCATAAAAGAAAAATCAATAACTTTGACCCATACAGTGTATTTTTGGCTATTGTTACAAATATACCCCAGCGACTTAAGACTGCTTTTGTGGTCCAGGGTCACATATGACTTTGTCATTAAATGTTCACATGGAACTTTAGACGGGTGTGATCGTGTTTATTTTTGTTTTGGGTCAAAGGTCATGGACAGAGAAGTCTCTCCGTATCATCAGCTGTGCTAGGTAACTATAAAAGACAGAATTGATGAATAGAGACATGTTTAATGTTTTCTTTTTAAGCACTTCTTTGTCTCTCTCTGTCTGCAGCTCGCACTCATGTCAGTTATGAGGTCAAGGATAATGTTGCTGTGGTTCGAATCAATGATCCGACCTCAAAGGTGTGTTCTGTTCTTCTCTTGATTACTTTGATGTAATAATGTCAATGTTTATTGATTTAAAAGTTTAAATACATACTTTTATTCAGCAAAGATGCTTTAAATTAATCACAAGTGACAGTAAAGACATTCATAATGTTACCAAAAATGTATCCCTTTTCCACAAGAATATGAAGCAGCACAGCTGTTTTCAAAATTGATAATAATCAGAAATGTTTCTTAAGCAGCAAATCAGCATATTAGAATGATTTCTGAAGGATCATGTGACACTGAAAACTGGCGTAATGATGCTGAAAATTCAGCTTTGATCAGAAATAAATTACATTTTAAAATATATTCAAATAAAAAGTCAATTTTTAAAAATAAAAAAATATTTCATTATATTACTGTTTTTACTGTATTTTTGATCAAATAAATGCAGCCTTGGTGAGTATAAAATACTTTTTTTTACCATCCCCAAACTTTTAAATAGATATTAAATGTAATTTGTGTGTGTTGTAGGTGAATACTCTGTCCAAGCACATGCAGGCAGAGATGGTGGAGGTGATGAATGAGATTTGGGGGAATTCAGCAGTAAAGAGCGCCGTCCTCATCTCCAGAAAACCAGGATGCTTCATCGCAGGAGCTGACATCAAGTACCACACACACTCGCGCACACACACACACACACACACACGTGCAGATTGCTAGACCATTTATACAGACTCACGTTTATCATCATCTCTGTCTTTCAGTATGATTCAGGCCTGCAAGACAGCAGAGGAAGTGACATCACTTTCACAGGAAGGACAGAAGATATTTGACCAGATTGAGAAATCACCCATCCCTGTTGTGGCTGCTATTAACGGCTCCTGTCTGGGCGGCGGACTGGAGGTCAGCACATGATCATGTTATTTTTAATTATTCACTTTTATTATTTAATAATACATTTATTTTAATTTGTTTTTAATTCATCATTAAATCCCTTTTCAGCTGTGAAAAGCAGTGATGTTACTGTTAACTAAAACTATTAACATTTTTCAGTGATTGAAAGAAAGCATACATAAAAAAATAAAATATAAATTAAAAACTTAATCTTAAAAAAACTTATAAAGAAACGTATAAATGTCACCTTGGCAACTAGCAGAAATAAGTTTAAGTTGACGTACTAAAATTAATGCAACTAAAACTGAATTAAAGGTAAATAGAAATATGCAAAATATGCAATATGCAAAACCCTGAAAAATAATAAAAATCGATAAATCACTAAGAAATTAAATTAAAATGAAGTCTGAAAAACTAAAAATAAAAGCTAATTTAAAATATTAATAAATATAATATATAAATAATACTAAAAAAGTGTATAAATAGTTAAAGTAAATAATAAAAAGGTTTTATCATTTTTAATGACTATTAAGTAGTTTCTTATTAGCATGCATTTTACTAGCATATTGGCTGTTTATGCATGACCATATTCTAGATCCCTTAACCCGACCCAATACCTAAACACTACTACTACAACAACTACCTTACTTAATATCAATAAGCAGTAATTAGGAGTTTGTTAAAAGGGTCATATGATGCTGCTAAAAAGAACATTATGTTGTGTATTTGGTGTAATGCAATGTGTTTATGTGGTTTAGGGTTCAAAAAACACATATTATTATTATTTTCCACATGATTTATTTATTTTATTTAGTCATTTATTAGACGCTTTTATCTAAAGCAACTTACAAATGAGGACAACAGAAGCAATTAAAGTATTAAAGTAGCAATTAAGTATTAAAACAACTAAAAACAGATCTAAAACTAAAAGCTAAAACTTTATAAATACTACTTATACACATTTTAAAAATAAAGAGATTAAATAAAAATGACAAATGCATACAACAAAATTTCAAAACTTAACATTTAAATGAAAAACTAAAAAATAAAGCTAAAAAGAATTCAAAATATTAAAGAACAAAAGGTATAAGAGTATAATAATGATTCTAACATAACACTAAGCCAAACACCAAAAACTACATATGAATGTACAACCACACACACATACATATACAATGTATATATAGTTTGTTGAAGTATTAAAATAACTAAAATTAAATAAAACTAAAAACTTAATAAAAGACCTATACAGACATAATAAATTCAGACAAAATGTAAATAAATAACAAATACAAATAATACAAATCAAATGACAGTAATTTATCAGTAATCCTAAAAAATAACTCTTACATGCTAAAAAACAACAACTTACTTACACATAGTAAGAAATGGTTATAAAAACTGAAACAGAAGTGAAACAAGTAGTAGGAAAGAGGAGAAATAAAAAGCGATACTTATCCCTTGCCGGTGTCCCTACCCGGTGGAGTCGCACAGTATAGTCGATGGTCTTTACACTCTTCGGTCTTCACACGAGGAGGCCTTCACGTGACCGCTGTCGTGGTAAACTAAGCTTTTTTTATACCCGTCTAACAAAATACTAAATTAATTCAGCTGGACACACTTTTAGTTAAAGTAAATAATAAAAAGGTTTTATCATTTTTAATGACTATTAAGTAGTTTCTTATTAGCATGCATTTTACTAGCATATTGGCTGTTTATGCATGACCATATTCTAGATCCCTTAACCCGACCCAATACCTAAACACTACTACTACAACAACTACCTTACTTAATATCAATAAGCAGTAATTAGGAGTTTGTTAAAAGGGTCATATGATGCTGCTAAAAAGAACATTATGTTGTGTATTTGGTGTAATGCAATGTGTTTATGTGGTTTAGGGTTCAAAAAACACATATTATTATTATTTTCCACATGATTTATTTATTTTATTTAGTCATTTATTAGACGCTTTTATCTAAAGCAACTTACAAATGAGTAAAGTATTAAAGTAGCAATTAAGTATTAAAACAACTAAAAACAGATCTAAAACTAAAAGCTAAAACTTTATAAATACTACTTATACACATTTTAAAAATAAAGAGATTAAATAAAAATGACAAATGCATACAACAAAATTTCAAAACTTAACATTTAAATGAAAAACTAAAAAATAAAGCTAAAAAGAATTCAAAATATTAAAGAACAAAAGGTATAAGAGTATAATAATGATTCTAACATAACACTAAGCCAAACACCAAAAACTACATATGAATGTACAACCACACACACATACATATACAATGTATATATATATATATAGTTTGTTGAAGTATTAAAATAACTAAAATTAAATAAAACTAAAAACTTAATAAAAGACCTATACAGACATAATAAATTCAGACATAATTTAACTAAAATTAAAATAAATAACAAATAATACAAATCAAATGACAGTAATTTATCAGTAATCCTAAAAAATAACTCTTACATGCTAAAAAACAACAACTTACTTACACATAGTAAGAAATGGTTATAAAAACTGAAACAGAAGTGAAACAAGTAGTAGGAAAGAGGAGAAATAAAAAGCGATACTTATCCCTTGCCGGTGTCCCTACCCGGTGGAGTCGCACAGTATAGTCGATGGTCTTTACACTCTTCGGTCTTCACACGAGGAGGCCTTCACGTGACCGCTGTCGTGGTAAACTAAGCTTTTTTTATACCCGTCTAA